TTCGTTAACCAATCAAATTATTTGAACAATTCTAACAAGGATTGTAATTGGCTTGTTTTAGCGTGCTTTATCAGAGAACAGTGCACCGCTGACGCCACTTTTGCTCGTTTGGAAAATAAAGTTTGGTTTGAAAATTCAGCCGAATCCGTGGGGAAATTATCGAATTCTCTATCATAAGACAAATAAAGAAGCCTCGACTGTGCTCTGTTCTGTTGTAAAGCACTTAGGAAGCGGTAGAGCACTCAAGAAGTTGGGAAAAACACTCGACTACGTCTCGTGTTTTCCCCTACACTTCTTTCGTGCTCTACCGCTTCCTGCGTGCTTTACAACAGAACAGAACACAGTCGAGGCTTCTTTATTTGTTAATTAAAGGGCTGACTGTGCCGTGTCACATATTTGCTTTTTAGTTTTAGAGACAGGCGGTCAAACGCAAACACATCACGGACAACCTCATTGAAGTTTGCTTTAGTTTAATCTATTTGTTTTGTCTTCTCTTTTATTGCTTTGTTTTATTCTTTACGGGAAAGGACATGAGAAATCCGCCTTCTCGCAGGCTATTTTATCAACAACCCAAAAACATTGTATGGAGAATGACTTAGCATGGAAGATTTAGTGTACTGCACCCGCACAAAAATAACTTCCTATTGAAAGCTTCCATTTTCTTGAAAACCGACTTTCAGCTAAAATGAAGTAACGAGATTCAAACGATTTGTGTTATCAGCTGCAACCCAAATGACTTCACCTGTATTTGAAATGGTAATGTTTAGACGCTAAAAGTTTGAGATCTCTTTTATTATGTAAATATCACAACGGGGGCGAGGAACTTTGCTTTTCAGCTTCTAGAGTACTTGAACCCAAGGTGTGAAAAGAAGTGCAGAATTTTTTGTGGCCACAAACAGGTTTTCCTGTCAGGAAACATTTGATCGAACGAATCATGGCTGAATTCGATGTGTGTGAAGATTGTGCGCCGGCGAATTGCACTCATGGCTTTAGCAACATGTCTACGGTTTTCTTTATTTTTCTTTGCTCGATCTGTGGCTTTTTGGCGACCGGAGGAAATTTGGCTCTTCTGATCGCTTTTTCTCACAGTGAAACGATTCGCAAACGGGTAAATATCTATTTTATGCTGTCGTTAACAGTCGCCGACATGGTTATAGGATTAACAATGACTCCATTGTATATCTGTTACGCGACAATTCATGACCCATATGCATTATGGCTCGTCAAGCTGGAAGGTTTTCTTTGGATCGTTACAGTCACTGCCACCACTCACAGTTTAAGCGCTGTGAGTCTAGACCGACTGATTTCAGTCTTATATCCTTTGCGCTATCACCAGATTATGACCAAGAAGCGGTGCCGTGTTGTTGTTCTACTAATTTGGTTGGGATCTGTCATTTTTGGATTACCAAGACTGGTTCTTAACGACTTCGTGAAACTAGAAAAACTGTGGATCGCTTGTTCTGTTGCCACAGTTGGGATCCCCTTACTTGTCATGTCTTTAAGCTACGGGAGAATTTTCGCCATAGTCAGGAAACAAAGTGGCAAATGGAAGAACCCCAACGCCTCAAGAGACACCTTGGGGAACAAAAAGGCTGCCGTGACAATTGGCATTATAGTTTGCCTTTTCGTTGTAACATTTATTCCAAGTGCGGTGGTATATTTCATGCTTTTATTTGAGGATAACCTTTGCAAAGAATATCAACTTAATGATGTATGGCTATGGGCAGCTCTTGTGTCTTTCTGCCATTCTTCGTTCAATCCATGGGTATACGGGTTCCGCTATCGGGAATTAAGAAAAGATTTTATGGCCCTTTTTGGAAAAACTGTAATATGATACCCGGACAACATCAACAAACAGGTTAAACTAATTCAGGTACTGCCGTGAGTTTTTTACATTATCAACAACAAAATTCCATATGTGCTCTCATTATGAGAGATTCCCGATTAAAAAAAAAGTGGTAAGATGATCTATTTAAAACTTGAGAACTTTGTCGATCTTAACGCCGTTAAAAAAAAGAGATGTTTAAGCTGAAACGTAAACTTGTAGCGTAAAATTGATTACTTTTAGTGTGATCTTCCTAGTGATAGAGCTCTTGAGAAGATTGCTGTCATCGATTAAAAGATGTCATGGCCTGAACGGTTATGTTATCACCGGCAACTAAAATGAAGATGGCATCAATGCCAGGCCGACGAAATCTCAGGCACGTTAAATAAATGAGTCTTTCAAAGACTCCTCACATGAAAATCCAACTAAACTTAACTATAAGCTTCATATAAAAGATTATGGCCCAGTGTCTTTCGGTGATATCAAGGTGTATCTTAGGGGCCCATCTACACTAGGCGAGTTTTTATTATTATCATTATTATTTTGCAAAAATATCTGTCAATATAATTTCACGTTTCAAGAAAGGACGGTAATTTTCAGTCCTACCAAATTCGTTTACCCCTCCCAAACTTCAAAAGCTTAAGCGCCGTCGTTCTGCTCCTAAGCAGGCAGTTTTTTAACTAAGTGTGGTAGATCGATCAAAAAACTTCAAGTAAAACATCGATTAAGGTGCTTCACAGGGAACAGCAGGTTTTTAATTTCGTATGTGATTGACATTTTGCGGTAAGTAAACAGGTTGTCGATTTTTACGGTTCGCTTTGACCAAAATTAAATTCTTGTGCAAGCAAGATTTAGCGTAATTTTTAGTACAGCCTAACACATTTTGCCAGCTTAATGTGGATGGGCCCTTACGTTAATTGTGTAGCGGACCGAGCTACTGTATATAGGTGCATTAGGCAGATCGACATTGTGAAAAACCATATGTCCGCTCTAAAATAAATAATATTGATTTTGCAGTGAGAAATCAAAAGATGTATTTACACCATCATCATACAGTATTGTGAATGATATCTTCCCTGTAATAAATTTCGTATCAACTCGATCGGGCTCCTCGATGAAAAATGTGTTTTAAGGTTCATCATTTCCTGAATCTCCTCTACGTATGATCCTTGTTCTTGATTAACAAACAAAAACTGTCAGGAAGATTTCTCAGCTTTAGTAAATGGAATTTTTATTTTGATGCGCGCCAAGTTAAAACAATCAACACTTAGTTTTCGATTTGGGCATGATACGTTTAAAAGCAGTCGGTCCATATTATCAAGGGCCCGTTGTTACATGTTGCATTAGTCACAGCCGTTTTTTACCATTAGCCTAAGAAATTCGGGAAATTTCGGTCAGAATTTAAACCGCAAGATGGTCAATTTTTGGTCGATCGACCGGAGAATTTCCGAAATAAACGGAACATCTTGAAAGGTAGTCCAAAATTTCCAACCGAAATATCCGAATGGAAAATGTGTTTACCATTTGCAATTCTTGACTAGTTCTAACCTCAGTCTAAGAATTATTATCAGGCTGAAATTGTACCAGGCTCTCTCTCATATTCATAATAGTGAAAACCAGAAATTTAAAGAAAAACCTTATATGTCAAATCGATTGTTTGTTGCTTTCATTTGAAAGCACGTTTTACTACTTTTACGGATAACCATTCATCATCTTCCTCTGGGGGGAACAAAACACAAATTAGATTAAAGCCCAGAGGCAAATCGATCTTTTTAATGCAAGCAACCTGGTCGCTGATTGTTAATGAGTCTTGCACGCCGGCACTCGTATTAGGAATAGAAAAGGACGCAATATGACGAGAACATTTCCTGCCCAAAAATTGAATACAATGACCACAGCCAATATTTGAACGCGGACTACTTAACAGAGAGACTGTTCTAACTCATCGCATAAGCCAGCTCGTTTCTAAAGAGAAGAGGAAGACACGGCCAAAGTATAACTTACATTTTGTGTCTGCCTTGAATTGCCCCCCTAGGCTAATTGATTGCGGTTTAAGTGATTCTACTAACGGAGGCAGAACATATTAAGGGGCCCTAGTCAGCCACACCTTTGTTTTTGTTTACATGAGAGAGTTTGACTGTTATATTTTATTGGGAACATGTCGAAACTAAGAACATCTCAGATTTTGCCAGAGCCGCTTGCGGCCTGCAGTACAAGATGGATCATCTTTTCATTTCTACTATTGATTTACTATATATGTATATATTTAACTTATGAGACCCATAAAGCTGATAAACCATACGAACATAAAGGAGACGAACATAACAATGTGTACGTAACCACTTACACATTGTTATATGAGGCGACGATTCTGAAGTATAATCCTTGTGAAACTACTAAGGATAATTAAACATACTTTCAGGAGCACAACTTACAGTAAGGCAATATGATTTTCCTTCACCATGCAATATCAATAATTTCGATGACATCAAAAATGGCTGCGGTTGACCAGCACGGTCTTTGAAAATTAGAAAATGAAGAGAAAATGAAGGCAATCGCTCATCTGTGTGGGAAAATAACCGAAAAAAAAAATGTCAAAAACTGCTGTCTACACTAGTTAAAAACATAATGAAACAATCGAAACACATTCCGCCTAGGAGCTAGGTAAGGTTGATCAAAATACGAACGTGTATGAAATTGAAAAACATAAATAAATAATAAAATAAATTGCATTGTCACAAAAAACAATACAATTAAATATCTATAGTATAAGATATGCCTAATCATATATTTATATGTGTGCTCTTAGCGCCCAAAATTCAGTTATGTACACAAAAGAAATCTGAATAAAATAAATTAGAAATTCAGTAGAGATCTGAATAATACTTCGGTGTATAGTTCTAAACGTAAACAGAAACATGTTTATTATAACTCTTTATTTAGGTCTGTTAGCTTAGAGTTCAAACGGCTAAGAAAACATAGAGACAAGAAATCAAATTCAGACGCTTTGTACAGAGGTATAGTCTAAAACATGATCTTTAAAAGGAGTGACACCAGTACGTGTGGCAGAGCTGAGCGTCTGTATTACAGGTGTCAGGTTTATGCAGTGCTGGTTAAGTTGGTTTCTCTGAGAGCAAGAGAACTGCCTGTATTATGGAATTGTCTGTATTACTACGCAAGTGTCCGTGAGGAAAGGTTCAACTTTATCACAGTTGCATCTGAAGAGAAAACGAACACTAAGCATTGCCTTTAAGAAAAATCTGTTTTAAGGCATGTCTTAATTCTCTATACCTGAGTCCATAAACCCAAGGGTTAAATGCAGAATGGGTAAACGATACAAGGGCAACCCACAACCACACATCATTTAGTATGAGTTCCTTACAGAGATCATTTTCGAATAAAAGCATAAAGTATACAACAACGCTTGGGAGAAAGGTTGCAATAAACAAGCTGACTATAATCCCGATGGTCACAGCAGCCTTTTTGTTGCCGACGCTTGTTCTTGATAAATGTGAATCGGTAACTGCACGACTCTGTTTCCGAACAACTGAGAAAATTTTGCCATAACAGCAAGACATGATCGTGAGAGGAATTGCCACCGTGGCAACAGAACAGGTGATCCATAGTTTTTCTAGCTTTACAAAGTCATCAAGAACGAGCCTGGGCGAGCCAAAGATAACGGATCCAAACCAAATAAAAACGATAACAGCACGGCATCGTTTCTCCGTCATGACTCCGTGGTAACGCAGGGGGTACACGACCGCTACAAACCTATCAAAACTCACGGCGCTTAAGCTGTAAGTTGTCGCTGTTACTGTCACAATCCAGAGGTATCCTTCCAGCTTGATGAGCCACAATGTGTCATAAGCTACTGCGTAACAGATGTACAATGGCGTCATTGTCAACCCGATCATGAAGTCGGCAAAAGCGAGCGAAGCAATGAAATAAGCATTAACCCTCGTGCTCAACGCTGAGGTACGGTAAAAGGCTATCAGAAGCGCAAAGTTTCCCCCAATTGCAAAAATGCCTGATATGAGACATATCGAAGTGAAAATAACCTGTGATGTTTGACTTAATCCAACCGGACAATCTTGCAGCTCGCACTCCAGACAATTGTCTAAGCTGGAATCGTTTTCTTGAAGTGTTGTATTCATTGTTTCACTTTATCAACGTGAAAAGACGATGATGCGACGTCCAAAGCGACGTTTTGCGTCTCAGCTGAGGCCAACAGTATCAGAAAACGAAGTGGCAATTGATGGGTGAACTTTCGTGGCAATTGGTCATTTGGCACAGCAGAAAAGTGTTATTTGTTCCCTTTAATGGAAAGCAAGCTGTTCAATGATGTATTTGTGATAGTTGACGTTTATAAATAATTCAATAACCTCAAGCCAAATGATCTTGTGCATTTCCCTGACATTGAATTAATATTGTGCAACTTACTCTGGTTTTCCTCAAAATTCTCTTTTGATCCTTAACGTTCGAGATATCAGTTAAAACATAATGCCACGATAATATTTGAAATTATATTTCACCCTAAATAATTATCGAGATAGTGATATTGGTTATCTATTGCCTTTTAATGTTTTGCCCTACTTACGCAGCAGGTGAAAGTATTAATGTGGAAAAAAGCGATTACAATCAATATTTTATCATATAACTTTTAAAATAACCTTAATGAAAAGCTGACATGTATTACTGACCAACTGTTAGACTCGGCAAGCCGTCCGTTACAACTCGTACTAAGACACGCTCACATTCTATTATGATAAAAAAATGTTTGTTCCGGAGGGACGTTTACAAAGATAGGTTACTATAAAATTTTGTAAGCTCTTTTAAGGGATACGAGACGAAGTCAGTCAAGCTCCAAAACTGGTCAACAGACAATACTTCCAAACTCTATTTCAGAACCAGATTATTATCAAAAAAGGTATTGATCATGATTTATTGAACATTTTTGGTTGGAGGTCTATTTTTATTTACTTACTTTTAGCGAAATAAAAACAATATTTCCAGTTATGAATTTTGAGATAGCTTACTTTGCTTCTAAGCCACTTATCAATAATTCCAGCATTTTCATATTTTCTAGAAAAACAAAACCGGGAAAAAAAGGTAGTGAAGGGTAATTAACGAAACTTGACTAATTAACAGTTGGGGCGAAGCGGTTAATTAACCCCAGCTCTTAAGATAAGTAAATTTCCTGGGCTAAATTTGGGCAAGCAAACTGTGTTCGAATTATTTTTCACTGGCGTTCACTGAAAGCATCTTCCTAACTAGAAGGCGGGGAATTGTATTCAAAGAAATTAGTACCCAATTCATAATATTTTCTCGCGGCGCTTACAAAAAGCAAATACAGTTGAATCCCGCTATTTCGAATCGCAGGGAATCGAAAAATAATTCGAAATAGCGGGAGTTGGAAGTAGCCGATAGTAAGTGACTGAAGAACAAATCTAAGGAAAATGGTTTTGAGTTCGATGTAACGTGGATTTCGAAATACGAGTTCGAATTACGTACCGGGGTCCGTACCATTGAGAAGAAAGGACGCTGGGTCGATGGAAGGCACTTGCTGGTTGACATGTTTTGCCACCGAATAAACATAATCTATTGGCAAACTATTTTTGTATTTGACTATTTGATTTGCCAAACAAATCGCAAATTCAAAAAGTGAGTATTTAATTTGCATGGGGTGTTTCAAAAGGCAGCTGGAAACATTTCTGATCCATCAAAAAGAATTTCATTTAATTAAAATCTCGTCATAAGTTAGCTTATAAAAACAGTAATTTCATATTAAAAGGCAACGAAAATTAAACCAGAAATTACTGGCACGTATTATTGACAAGTGGTCACCCATTTAGATGTGATGATGAGGATAAGTTAAAATGAAAAATCAATACTTGACGATTTGTTTGCATTTTTTCGTCAAATAAGAAAATGGGAAAAACTAAGCCAAATGGAAAAGGGGCATTATTAGCAAATAAACAAACTGAGCAGGGACGAAAAATCAATCAAACCACAGTTTATCTTCACTTTTGGTGGCTGGTAAGTGCAGCCATTTTCATTTAGATTTTATACAACGAACTGTGAGCACAACAGAAGGTTCTGTCTCTCGCAGCATGCAGTCATTGATCGTCACTACCGAACCCCGAAAAGAAAACTTGACACAAATCACAGAAAATCGCTTGTAATCTTTTCTGTTATCTGGTGCTTTTTAGCTAAAGTGCGCCATATCGATCGGAAACTGTAATCGACCTGAGGAAGCGAGATGACATTTTCATTTCCGAAAAATACAAACGAAAGGAAGTAATTTTTTCCTAAATGGACTATTCTTCATAAACACGTGTGAATTCCCAAGGTAAAGCTGTCACTCGTGCAAACTTCAAGTACATATGCTTCATTATTGACCCAGTATATTAGTCCATAACATTTATTGATTAGAATCTCGTGTGACTCATTGAAGAACTTATCCTAAAAGGAAAAAAAAAACAAAAACAAAAACAAAAACAAAAACAAAAACAAAAAAACAAAAACAGAAAAAAGCAACAAGAAGTAGACAGTTTCCATGATAAAAACAGTTACATATCTTGGAAAATACACAAAACTGTATATGTGGCATAAAATAACCGAAGAAATCCAGTCTATTACTTGGAAAATAACAACAGCAGCGCTTCTTGTTATTGCTGAATCATGCCTAAGGCCCCGTTCACATTACGCCGGAGAAATTTGAAAACGCAGCTTTATTTCTACGGTTAGGCCTACCCTCCACACTAACCGTCACGAAAACAGGGCTTTTCGAAAACGCTCTTCAAACAGGAGAAATTTGAAAACGCCGGCTTTGCGTTTTCGTGTTGAAGGAAAACATTTTGAAAACGGAGCTTTCCGAAAACGATGAACTCACGATAATCATGTGATTCCCCTGCACGAGATCCCGGGGTACTCCCCCACAGTACCTATTTTACCCGCCCAACGGGGTCGTGATTTTGGGACTCCTGATCTAGAGCGGGGTATCCATTTTCGAGACTTTTCCTTGAACGGGGTTTAATATTCCTAACGCCCTTGGTCACGATATAAAGAGAACCGTGTTTGTGTACGCGCGGCGCATCTTGATAAAATTAGCCTGTCTTTTCAGTTTTGCTGTTCGTAGTGTGTCGCAATTTTCCTCAGTCACGACCAACCCTTACATGTTTAGAGCGCTTTTCGTTTAAGTGTCTTAAGACCAAAACAAAAGTTACCATTCTTATGCGGACATTCCAATAATGTTGCACTTTAACACACTAGGTTGCTTCAACCTAGCTTAGAATTACTTCAGCCAGAAAAACGTTCATTCTGTGACACATTTTAATTTCATTTCCTATTTTGCACGGTCATTTTAGCGATATCTAAACAACTTGGGTTCATCAACTTCCTTGTCTAACTAGAACTTGTTTACATTTTATCTGATTGGTTGCGGTTAGCTATTAAATAGTTCTATCCTTCTATCCTAAAAACAGTAACAAACACGTACACGCCCACGCACACACA